GAACTTAGATCTGTTGGATCGCAGAGTCTGTCACATGAGCTGCAGCAAAAGGCACAAGTGAGACAAATTGCTAAAGATCAGTGGGGATGCCGGAGACTTCAAATTGGATGACTTTTACTGGACAATAGCTGAAAGAGATGGTGTTAGAGTTGGGCTTGAAAGAAGGAAGAGAATTTCACAGACTGGAGGGAAGGTGCGGCAACAGGAGAGGCACAGAGCCCAGACTCAGGGAAGGAGCTGACTCCGGAGGTAATTCCTCAGTTGTCTGCTTCCTTCAGAAGGACCCTCGGTGCAGATAGGGCACGTGAAAGCTCCTCCTGCATGGGGACCTCTGCCTGGCGGCTGGGGCATGAGCAGAACCATGGTGACTCAGAAAAGCCTATACTTAAGACTGGATCAAAAAGTGAGAAAACAGAGGGAAAGAGCCTGAGCTAGTGCCAGGCAGCCAGCGGGAGGAGCAGTGTGGCACTGGCACTGGGAAGAGGGGTGGTGGCTGTAAGAAAGCACCTCCAGGCGGCTTTGTGGGCAGAAACCACTTTGAAGGAGTTCTTGAGCAGGGCTTCCTTGGAAACAGATAAAAGATGAAGAGATACGTATAGTGCAAAATTCTGGTATCTGGCAAGCTCCCTTGAGCTGCCAGGCACATCTGTACCCTGATGCAGAGAGGAATGAGGCTAAGTCTGGAGAGGGCCCTAGAATGGAGGTAGGAAGTGAACGAAAGGATGAATGAGTGCTGTGCACAAGTGCAGGGCTTTCCTATGAGTGGCCTGGGCAGGCTGGAGGGTGCAGGGGTGGCCTGTTGGACCACTCCGCCACAGACCACTATTTCCATTATTTGCACTGATCAACACTGTCACCAATGGTTATCTTAGATAATTTGGGCACTGGCAGAACAAACCACTCTTACTTCTATTTTTTGATGACTAGTATGTATTAGAGATTATTTTATAGATTAGGACAGCAGTGTCACTTAAAGAGATTATGGCTCTGCCAAGCTAAAAAAAATGGCAATTGCCAACAAGCTCAGTTTCAGGTACCAGGCTCTTTAAGTAGAACTATGATGCTGTTCTATATTGAATTTCATTACCTTACTACTGTAAGACAACAAAAATCTGTCGCCCCAAATATATATCTTTGGCAAAGGTTGATTTGTGGGCGGGGCTCTGAAGGTTGAGGGGGTTGATTTTGAAATGGCATTGCCACACAGGCCTCTCAGTAAGGGCATCTCCCTCATTGTACAGGGCAAACCTAATCTCTCGATCTCCTTTCGGTGAAAAAGGCAGAACCTTTATTTACTGTGTGTCTTCCTTGGCAAATTTGCTAACTGGCCATGCCCTTCCTTTCCCTAGTCCCCCTTATCTTAGCTGAGTTTAAGATGGCATCTGAAGGCACATGGAGAATTACTCAGTATTACGCGTTATCTCCCACATATTTAGGAGGGTATACATGTTACTGCACCTCTCTTCGGCTTTTTTCTCTTATGAAAAAAGAGCTGCCTGTCTGATGCCTTGCCAGCCTGGATAAACCAGAGGGGCAGGAAGTGACTGCCTTCGCAGCCCAGTACTGCATATACTGTATTGGGTCAATTTCATTTCACTTTTTCCACGTCACACCTTTTTTTTCAGAGGAGATGTGCTGCACAGAGGACACTCAAAAGACTGGTTTAAAAAATTGTTAGAATGGTTCCTGAGATATTCTGTCCTTTTCAAATGAAGAAAAAAAATCCCTAAGTCCCTACTCTCAACCAATCCTAATATAATACAAAATGAGATAAGCTATCTCTTTTATAATTCCCATCCTTGTAGATAAATTGGCTTGAAATTACAATCTATCCTCTTATGCCCCAAAGGTCAGCAATTTTTATCTGAATGGTCTTACAGTACTTATTCTTCATGTATTCTGAGGTCCAGGTCACAGACTGAACTGAATAACTGTTACTCAAAACAGGGTGTCTCGGGCCCTCCCTGGTGGCGCAGTGGGTTACAGCACAGCACTAAGAAGCTAAAGCTGCTTCAGCATGAGTTCGATCCCTGGCCTGGGAGGTGACCCACATGGCATGGCAGACCTCTCCTGGCCTGCCTGCTGCTCCCCTCAGCAGTGTACTTCATCAGTCAGCCTGTTCTGCTCCCCACTCTATCTCTGGTGAATCCTCTCGCCACCCCTGCACCACTGGCCTGTACCCCAGTTCTGTATGCACAAATAAATCTTAAAAACAAAACAAAACAACAGGGTGTCTCAGAGGAGTATTGCTGATCCTTTTGAAGTCATGAATTATAACATTATTTACAAAAATTATTTAAGGAAGGAATACAGATTTGTTTTAAAGCTCTGAAGTTATTTGGAAATCTGTGTGCCTCTGGGACAAATCACCCTATCTCTTTAAGATGAAGGTTCTGAATTTTGAAAATGTTCCAGATGGCAGTGAACTAAGATTCAGCGGGTCTATTCTTGGTAGGTCAGTTTTCTCTGTGCTTGGCCCCCAGAGAGGACCCTATCAGATGGCCTGTCATTTTGTCTTCCCTCTAAACATTCATAACCAGAGCAACAGGGCCAAGAAGTCTCTTTCTGAGCCGGACATGGCAAATTAGGCGTGCTCAAACACAAAGAAACAACAAGCCCCAAATGGAATCCTGCATGCCAAGCATCCCCAGGACTTCATACCTCACCTAAATGTAGTTTCAGCATCTCCCCAAATGGAAAATTAAACTAATCAACCTGAGTTTCCTGTCAGCACACTTGAGGTCATCTGCATGATGACATCCTCCTTCAAAGTCTCCCCCTCCTTCTAATGGAAGGTGGCTTTGCCTAAAAAATATTTTGTTTGCTAATAATCTAGCTTATTCTTTTTATGACGATAACACCTTTTCATTTTTACAACTTCTTGAAGCACCTTTCTAAGGTAGGAATATTAGAGAATGAGAAAAGCAAAGGAACATCATAGCACATGAAGGGGACCATTTCCCCATCCCCATGTACATGCAGCCACCTTGGACTACCCTTCCTGCATTCCATGCTGAACGGGGTGGGGGAGATGGGGACAGCAATGAAGGCGCAAGGAAGGAGGACAGGAAGACACTAGGAGAGGCTGCTCCTGGGACATTAGCATTTGGCAGAGATAATGGCAGCTGTTATCTTGAGTTCATGGTGGACTGTACGGCACATTTTGAATTCTGGGTCTCCCCGAGGTTTTTGGGGCCCGCTTAACCTCTTTCTTGTGATTTCCTGCTGGAAGGTGTGTTAGACTTGTGATAAACAGCTTTTGGAATTTGATTAAAAATCTGTTATGTGAAACCCTTTCCACCTCCTTCCTTCCCTCGTTCCCTACCAAGTAAAGGTCTTTCACAATAAGTCTTCTTCCTTTGCCTTCGTATATGCAGACAGCTGAACATTTTCACAGTGTGCACCCCTTAATAGTTTGGAGTCTCTGAGTATCCCTTGTTTTTACCCGGTTACAGGATGCTACATGATTCATGAATCATTAATAAAGTCAATTAGATCTTCAATATTAACTTGGTTGGGTTTTTATTATTTAACAGATTTGCTGCAGGGTCTTTCCAATTTGGCATTATTGGTGTTTGGTCATTTTGGATTGGGGGTGTAAAGTTATGGGGGGTTCTGTACAAATAAGACATTTAGCTGCATCTGTGCAGCTAAGGCCTCCAGGTGCTGGGAGAACTTTTCCCAACACTGGGCTAATCAGACGTGGCCAGATGCCTGCTGGGGGCACATGTGCCCTTTTGAGAATCTTGAGTGCAGGTAAGTAGTTACTCGGGCTGGCAGATCACTTGGCCCACCCAGACCCCTCTCTCAGTATCTACTCTATGCCAACACATTCACACACTGGTTCAGTGTCTGGAGGAATATGCTCAGACCACTGCTCCGTCAGGCAGGGGTCAGGTCTCCAAGTCCCCTACCCACCAACTCTCACCCCAGCTTTCCATGTGCTCCTGGGCATGATGGCACATGCCACTGACAAGCAAGCAAATAAACATGCAAGGTAAGCTGCATAGTACCCGGTGATAACAAGACACTCAGAGTGCCTGGTAGTAACTCCTGAAGACATCAGGGTCGCCTCTATGAATCACATCAGATAAAAACAATGAATAGGCCTCACTGTAATTACCAAAAGAAAATGATTTCTGGGGTCAACCTGGTGGTGCAAGGGGCTAAATCTCAGCACTATGAAGCTATTAGCAGAAACTGCAGCAGCCAGGGAGCTGACACACATGGTGCCGCAGACCTCTCCTGTGTCCTCCGCTGCTCCCCTCAGCAGTGTATTTCAGTAGGTCCATGTGTGCTGTTCCCCACTCTGTCACTGGTGAATCCTCTCACTGCCCTCCCACACCTCTGGTCTACACCCCCGTTCTTGTATGCATACACAAATAAAATAAATCTTTAAAAAAAAAAAGAAAATGATTTCTATAATAAGAAAATTCTATAAAGAATGATAGGAACTTCTCTTGCTCAACAAAAACTTTACTGAGTTCTTGTTGGGGGCAGAAACTCCTCTAAGGGTCTTCTTGCTTCTACCCACCCCAAGCTCTCCCTCCTCAACTTGCCACCCTTGAGAACTTACATTCATCAATTCTTACTCAAAGATGCTTAGGAAGCTACATAAAAAAAGTAATGCAACTTGCATTTTAATTTTCATGAAAGCACCTTGATGAAAAATTTCAATTACTATAAGTAAAGTGGGCAGAATGTTGATACTTCATGAGGTGCTCAGTGGTACCTGATTAAAATGACCGAGGGACCCACAAGCTTCTGATTAGACTTTTAGAAAAAGCCATTCTGGATGGTGCAACAGTTTTCATTTGTATCCCTAAAAAAAAAAGGGGGATTGTCCTACACAGTATGTTAAAGCAGAGACGTTACAACTCAAGGCGACCTGCCCCGCTCACAGGCTTTATTCACAAGGTCAGTGTGCTGAGCAGATAAACATGCTGCTCCCTTTGCTAGGTGGCACTTGCAGGCTGGGCAAGAAGAAAATGCAACTGTACCTGTCGTGTCTCAGGGCTCTCATATCAACGTAGACGGTGGTTGGGTCAGGTCCCGAGGTCCCCTGCAAGCAAGGACACAAAAAGGTTAGAGTGAGTGTGTGGGAATAACTCTGCTGCCTACAATTGAGCTCATTTTGGGTGAAATCCCAAACTCAACCATCAATGGAAAGCACCAAAACCTCACCTCTCGGAAACACCTGTTGACTGCTATCCTAAATGTCCCTCAAAGGGACATTTTATTAGGATAATACTGGACTTTCACATGCTTGACTGTCAACTGGATTTACAGAAATAAGAGGCAAGCCACACACCGTGTGAAATTAAAGGTGACTGAAACCACCTAGACAGCATTGGTGGCAAAAGCAGGTTGTCAAAGATGTGAAGGCTCCTTTGTTGAGAAATTTTTACTACATGCATCCAAAAAGGCCTATTTTTAAAGCTTAAGATATTGAAGCAGAACACATGACATGAACTGACAGATTAAGGAAGAGATAAAAGATAATTATCTTGTTCCTTTTAGTTCTATTGTGCTTTCTCTACCTCAGGAGGTTATTTCTGTCTGTGACGTAGGTCGGGGAGAGTGTGTGCTTTCCCCTATTGCAGCTCTCTGTGGCCTCAGATATGTGGCTATATGCTCAACACATAGGTCTAGAAACCTTATCTTGGTCTCATAAGTCTCTTCATTTGTGTGCTGGGCTGACTTCTGGCCAGTGATTTCTTCCATGTGGGAGCTGTACCATTAAAATTGCATTACAAATCAAATTTCTACATATATTTCTTGGGAAGATAATGCAGTACCTTGGGTCTTGGGTAGAAAAAGATGGAGCTCAAAACAAACTCGCTAGAAAAAAAAGAGCCCTTCAGACATTATTTGAAGAACTATGCTAAAATTCATCAGAAGAAAATCTTGTACCAAGCACAAGGCATGTTTAAACATAAGAAAATAAAAATAAAAACATTTTCATTAGAACATACAGTAGTACGCAATAATCCTGTCATTGGTATCTCAACACCAAGACAGAGAACAGCACATGCAAATCCCTCTAGGTGGAAGCCAATCCTGCTGTATAATGCAAAGAAGGTACTTTCTACCCTGTGACTCGTCAGTGAGCTGTGTTACAGACTAAAGCTTACTGGAGAGGTGGTTTGATGTTCCGAGTAATGCAAAACACATAACCACAGAAGGTCAATCAAAAAGCAAGTCAGAAAGCAGGTCACCAAATTGGAAAATGGCGTAAAATGGAGGTGACCCTAAAGTGGCAGAGCACACAGATATGCACACAGACGTGCAGCCTTTGTCACAAGTGCAAAGCATTGAAGAGACCTGAGGAATGACAGCATACAGGGCGCCAGTCCTCTGGACACAAGTAAACAACCCCAGTCAATCTCTGCACCCAACTTTCAGCCGGTCCCTGCTGGGAGACGGGCACTAGGTGGGCATTGGTGTGGATGAAGAGGAATATCCCCTACCTGCTCGGCCGGCTTCCACAGCCTGTGAGGCTACAGCAGCAGGAGAAGGGAACAAGAAGAAAGGAGAGAACACCAGGCCACAGAAACCGAAAATAAACCACAACACAGAGACACACAAACAAACATTCCAACAATTAAAAATGGGATGGGGGGGAGGGAGGAGAATGCAAAAAGCAGGGAACAAAGTAAAAAGAAGATCAAAAACAATGTCAAACATGGAAATTGTTAAAATCAATCACTGTGCCATTAAAGGCCAAAAAAAAAAAAAATCTAAAAAGATGTCAACATATCCACAGAGCAACAGGAAAGAGAATAATAGGTGACTGACTAATCATGGACATACAGGCCTGAGGAATTTGATACATGAGGTCAATGGTATTACTGGAAGTTTAATTTCACAGTACTTCTATATAATTTCTTTTTTGAGGAAGTGGAGATTGTGAATTTCATTGGCCACGTTTACTGTGTCCTCACTGATAGCGTCTCAAGTTGCCTGTTACAATGATGAACAGAGTCTGGAAACATTTGCATCTTAAATCAGGGTGTCTGGCCCTCCTTCTCTCTTTGAGGTTAGGTAAAAGGAAAGGGTTTGTAAAGCACTTTGGAGAGGTGTGGGAACAAAGGGCAGACTCCCCACAGTCAGCTCTGTGGTCTAGCTGGGATTTCTTCTCAGTGAGCATCACCCCTTCCATGTGCTGCCCCCCAAATATTGCACTTGCATTTCCTTCTTCTCTTCCTCAGTTTGGGTGCCCACCTGCCTCCCCTCTCAAATGATCTACACCAACATCCCAGAAAAGCTACCAAAAGCAACACTAGCAGGTGCCTTTAGTGCAGTGTATTTTCCCCTAGTAACTTAGGTATATTTTTCAAATATTCTCAGAGATGTGGAAAAAGCCAAAGTTGCTGCCCGGGCACATGGTTATGTCATTGCTCGAGGGTAGAGTTGAATGCCTACGTACTCCCTGGTCACAATCACCTAGAGGACAACAGCAGTAAGAACAAAAGAAAGGAATGCTTCACTGGTGTCCTGGGGCTGCAGAGTTTGCTAATAAAATCGCATAGGTCAGTCACTACCTATCAACACAGTCTCTAGAAAAAGTAGGCCTCTCAAGTCAAACTGTGACTCCACCCTTCTCTCAATTCTTCCTTCTTGAGAGAGATCATGGCAATTGCTTCCTCTCAGCAGCCTATCGTTAGAAGATAGAGGCAAGCATGAAGAAAGAATAGAGCAGGCTCATTAAAGCTGTGTGCACTTTGAAGGCACAGGACTTCTGGATGTGTTCAAGCAGAATGCAATGATTTAAGTAATTTCCTTTCCTCATGATTTCTTTCTGGAATCCTAATTATTACTTGGAACAAAATAAGTTAATGTCTCTTTAAATTAATCTAATTCACAAATTTTGTTATAATGGCTCAAGGTAATGTCTTAGGGAAAAAATCAACAAGACCAACTAACTTCTTTGCTTGAAAATGTCAACAAAGCATCTGGGGCAAAATTGATCCCCAGATTTTTTGTTACTATGTTACTAAGTGATACATAAGGAAGGAGACAGTTAACATATAGATATTTCCAGATTTCAAAACCGCTAGAGTCTCAAAACCTGAGATTTCAAGAAACATATTTGTATTTGAAATGTGCATGAAATGTACTACAAAATACAAAGGAAGTGCACAATTAACAAAATCTTCACTTTACCCAGTAATGTGATTTGGAGTTCTCTAAACAAGGAGATACATCATGCATACAAGTATCCCCCAGTATTTCAAGATCATCAAATCAAATCTTTTTACTTACAGAAAGGACTGGAGATAAATAGTTATCCACTCCAACCAAAATTTATTCAGAAATGAAGATAAAGCATTTTCTAACTATCAGTTACGAGATTCAGAAAAGGGAAGCTCTAAAGTTTAATTCCCTTTAAAAAGTTAACATGGACATAATTATACTAAACATCATTTTTTCTTATTGGTATAAAAGCATTAAAGCAACTGTATATTGAATTACATTTAAATCTCAGTTGAAGACATACAGACTCAGATCCCCAACATGACACAGGAAATTCAACACTGTCCTTACATACTGTAGCTGAGTGGCACCTGTAAGATTTGGAGAGTCACATAGTATGGCATGAGCACCATGCCATCTAACATTCGCACACAGCTCCTCAAGTTGAACTAACCAATTCTAAGTAGAAAAAAGTGAAATAAAAGCTTAATTTCACAGCACGCATGTGGTGCGTCGCTGCCTCACTGCCTCGCCACATGTGTGAAGAGTCACGTTTTCCTTAGTGAGGCCCTGGGAGGCAGCATGTATAGGGCTGAGTCCTTCAGGGACTCAGCAACCCCAGCAGCTGAGCTTCTTCCTGCCTGCATGACCTCAAGTTACTTTCTTTGGCCCTTTTCAAAGGTTTTAACAGTGACTTTTTCCAATATTTTAAATGAGATGTTATTTATACGCAATGAAATGCACACATAGTAAGTATTCAATTAGATGAGTTTTGGCAGATGTAACCCCCATTTAGCTACCACCCCAAATAGCATACAAGTATTTCTCCACCTTAGATAATAGGTCAACCAACCAATATCCACACAAATGCTACAACTTTGTCATTTTGCACACAACAGATTAACCTACTCTTGGAACTCAAAATGAATAGCATAATACAGGGTCTTCTTTTGTGTCTAGCTTTTCTCATGGGTCCAACTGCCTGGAGCCTACACACCATTGTTTGTAGTAGCTGTTCCTTAAAGTTCTGTGAATGTTCTTCTCTATGCTTACGTCACAATCTATCCATTGTTGGACTATTTCTAGCTTAGTGTTCTATCCAGCAGAGTAGACACACAACACATCAGTACTTCAGAATTGTTTTATTTTGCATAGTCCTATTTTTAGAATTTATTACTTAAGGACTATCATGTAAAAGCTCCTCTAAGCATTTTTTATACAAGCATGTCTACAGACATATTTTCATTTGAGTATACACATAGTGATGTTGGTTCATAAGGTTGATTTAGGAATGTTAATAATTTGGTAATAGGTTATCATGGAAATGGATCTGAAACTGATTAGTTGGTTTGGAAGGAGAAGTCAAAGGCACTGAAACTCGAGCTCATTTGCTGGGTGGATACTAGTGGTCCATCCACAGATTGGCAAACTGGCTAGCCCCTGTAAAACAATATGTCCCCCTATTTTTTAAAAGTATTTTTAAAAATCACTGCCACAAAAGTTCATTCACATATTATCTGTTCCCTCTTTGAGCTAGCCCAGTGGCCTTCCTGTGAAGAATATAGGTAGAAGAAAAGTCCAAAGTCTCTTCTTTAACCCTTTTAGGAAAAGTACTCATCAAAGGCTTAAAGAACTGTGGAGTCACAGAACAACAGAGAAGCACAAAGATTGAAGTAGCTGCTGCTTCTGTGCATGCCTCTGAAGGCACATGCTCATACTTACGGTTCAAGGCATAGATTAACCCCAGGATTAAAAACAACACTTGTTGAAAGTAAACATTTGATTGAGAAGCTTGTGGAGTTGCACAAAAGCAGGCATCCTATCATGGGCCACTGGGCCCCTAAATGTTTCTTGGGGTTATTCCCAAAACTTCCAAATGCTCAGATGGAAAGAACCAACCCCAAAGCTGGGCACAAGTCAGATGTGCTCAGTCAAAATATGGTGCAGATGAGTGAAAGCACCTCCTACAGTTTTGTACAGGAGCTGTCAATTGTGGTGAAATTTGCAATCCCGTCTACAGATTATGGACTATCAGCGATGGAATACCCAGAAATCCTGCTGGGGCCTCTGCTTGTCTCGTTTTGGAGTGAGGATGGTGAATTTTTTTTTTTTTTTTGCAAAAGTTAAAGCTTTTATTTTCACACATTTTTGGGGCAAGGGTCAAGGTGATTATAGGATGAGATCAAGACTGTGTGTGGATGCTGACCAGCCAAAGGGATGGACTGAAAGAGTCCTATGCTGATCATTTCTGGTCACCGAGCATCTAAACCTTCTTTCTGTATTTGGAGGCTGGGTGGATACAGAGCTCCTGTCTTTATAGTAACTACTTATTCCTCCTCAACCTTGTGGCAGGGTGTGGGACAGGTAGCCAATTCTGCCAATTATCCGCATCTATTCAAGCATGAAGCATAGATGCCAATTATCTGCATCTATTCAAGGCTGGTACTAGCAGTGGTGTCCAGGGCCAGCAAGGACAATGGTAAGAGCCTGCAAGCATGGATGACCTCAGCATGAGTTGTGCCAGCTGCACGAAACCTGGACCTCTTGATGCCCCTTGATGCTTCTGAGAGCTACTCAGTGCCGTCTCAGTAAATTTATTTTCATTTAAATTGCCAAGGAGATTTCTGCTCTTTACAAATTAGAATGTTGACTGATACACTGGATATTTGAGAATACAGGCCTAATGACTTCAACTATTAATTTTTATTATCTGGGGTAACATATATCAGCAGGAGAGGATGGAATTCTCTCTGTAATTCAGCTGATTGTGATTACTTCCCTGGAGCATACAAAGTCCCTGAAAGCATCTTATTTATTTTTACTTCTTTCATCTAAAATCAGAGTAGGGGGAAGTGAATTGAGAGTTAATGAAAGTCTTATTATAGCTATTAATTTTATTTTGGGAATGACTTAAGGTTTATGTTACTTTCTGAGACTTACATATTTTTCTTCTCAACATTCAGTGCCTACCACCATCATCAGGGTGGCTATATTGCTCTTACTGTGTGTGTTTCAAGATTTAAAGTCGACTATAGCTGTTACTATTGATTTAATTCCACACAGCTATTTGTAATAAAACTTTCTTCTCAGAAAAACTGAGCATTTTACTACAGGGTGAAAAAATTTCTGTTAAGGTGTCTAATTCCGCCCCCCGCCCCCAACAAAGCAATAGCTGAGGTCTCCTTTGGAAAATGTAAGAAATAACCATCACCACCACCCCCCACTTCTTCTGGCACAGGATGTTCATTTTTCTGTTACAAGGAACTAAATTTCTAAATCTGATACAACCGAAAATCTTTCAGCT